GAAACCAGTCCATGTTTTGCTCCCACGGCACTTCAGGCTGAGCTCTCAGTTCTCAGCAGAGGAGCTCTAGGAGTGGCAATGTTTCTGCCTACAACCCCCAGACGCTGCCTCTCACCTGGTGCTGGGGTCATGGCAAGGAAATATCCCTGTGTGCATTTACCTTGCAAGAGCAGGAATCAATAACAGAGGTGCAACCAAGCTTTTAGGTCAAGGTTTTGTTCATGACAGATGGAGAAGAATCCATTTTTCCCTTTGTTGTACAGGCTTCCTCTGCAGGCTTAGCAAAAAAACATCAACGAAGTGTTAGTGCAAACAGAGCTGGTAAGTGCTGCAATAAATGCTCATCTGGATGCTTTCTCTGAGCTGTTTTGAAACACCCCAGAATTGGTTCTGTTCGGATGCAAAAGCTGACAGAAGAGACTGATTCACCTATTCTGATAGCACCTATTTCTGTTTGTCCTGGGTGGTTCAGTGCCTTTTCCTCACCTGCGAGCAGACTTCTCCTACTCTGTTTAGATCAATTCTTCTCCCTGCTCATCCCTTCCTGTCCACGGCTGGAGGGGTTTGTACTACTGCTGGTTGTACACAGGGCTGTAGCTTGCTTTTTGCTGGGCATACTCCCCTGCAGCTGTTTTCCTAACCCAGAGCACACCTGTATTTATTTCTTAAAGCACCCAGGGACAGAAGGTGGCTCTTTGCTAAGATTAGATGTGTTCTGGGTAGATGAGGATGAGGACTGGATGGAAAAAAAGAAAATATATATATATATATTTGCAAATATATCTTCTGCTTCCTCAAATAGATTTCTTTTCCCAAGGCTTTGTGATTTTCTTTGGAGTTTTAGATGAACCAAACCTTAGTCCCAAACCACCAGCTATAGTCTGAGAGCATTTTTAGGCATGGTAACTCCCAGGCAGAAGGAGCTGCACCTTTCTGCCTTATGTTTCCCTGGAGGATTTTGTCAGAGGTTTCATAGAAACATGAAATCTATGGAAGTAACTGTGAGAAGCAACCCCTCGTGTGCTCTGCAGCAAGCCACAGGCAGGATGTCTGTATATGAGTTTTTTTGCTGGAGAACACTCTTGTTTTGACAAAGGCAAAAGGATGAAAACCAGTCCTTTGTAGATAACAGGGTGTGCACATGTGTGACTGATTAGAGTGGTGTGTGCTCACCCAACGCCGGGCACCTGCGTGTGTCTGATGTTCTAAGATGGGACACAGCTTGAAAACAAGGACTCAGAAAAGTCCTGCAGGATTTAATAGAAATCACCCGTTTCCAATTGTTTAACAACTGCCTTTAGTTAGTTTTCACCTTGAGGCAGAGATCTGTCGTGTAAAAGCACACATGGATGCACACTGGTTCCAGTCCTCCTCACTGGGCGGCTTTGTTCTGCTGCTGGATAAAGGCTTTGCTTGGTGGTGAGGGGGCAGAGCTCTGCACCCAGGAGCTCAAGATGAGGTGATTTCTGTCACATCTATTTAAGAACACTTGTGGAACTGCAACTGCCTGTGCAGTCACCTGCTGGAGAGCGAGGGCTCACAGGGGCATGCAGGGGCCCTCTAAAACCTGAGCTAAGCAGATGGATCTTTTCAGTTTCTATTTGCTATGGGAACTCCCAGTGTTGTTCTCCCCAGCGTGTGTGTACCAGAAAGTGAAAACAAGTGGGAATGGGAAATGCAAAGCAGTGGCAGAGGCTTAAAAGTGAATTCTCCAGCTCATGCTGAGCTCCCCTCAGCCCATCCTGTGCTCTGTTCCTCTGCAGCATCTCATGCTCCAGGATGGGAAAAGCACAGGTCAGGAAATGGTGAGAACAGGATTAGATTTTAATTTGCTTTCGCCATTTTTAATAATCCCTGGTGGTGTTAATAATACAGGAATTATATTCCTCTGAAGAATTAAGCTACTAAAACTCCCTTTTTAAAAAATTAATAATGCTTGTTCAGAGAGTTAAACCTCCTCCCAGGTGCTATTCCAAGAAATAGCAGTGATTTGAACTCCAGTAATTTCTGTCTGCAGAGCTGGAAAAGACTTGAGGTTTGCATAGCTCTGGTTTTTTCTTTCCAATGTGTTTTACCCTCTCACCCTTTACAATAACACTTTTCTCACTTTGAAGGAAACCTTGGGCCGTGTTTTACAATCAACCAGAAAGAAAAATGCTTGTGCAAATGTTGTGTTAAAAATGAACTGAGATTTCATGCAAAAATGACCGTTCCTTCACCAGTACAGCGAGCGGTTGGGATAATCAGGCTCATCTCATGCTTTGGTGGATGCTGGAGCTGGTGGCTTTGTGGTTCAAGGCAATAGCAGGAGAGTGAGCAGCAGCCCCACAGCAGGTGCCCATCCTCAGAGAGCTGTGGCAGAGCCCTGTGCTTGATGCAAAGTGATGTCGGCTTGGTGGCAACATTAGACCAACGACGTTGACCAGACGTGGCAATGTTGGGTCTGTGGCATTGACCAGAGGTGGTGAGGTTGGACCAGTGATGCTGATCAGGCGTGGCGAGGTTAAACCAGTGATGTTGACCAGGTTGTTGAGGTTGGATTGATGGCATTGGTCAGAGATGATGAGGTTGGACTGATAACGTTGACCAGAGGTGGCAAGTTTGGACTGTTGACTGGAGCCTGATGACACGGATGTGCGCTCAGCAGCATCCTGTGTGATGGATGTCAGAAGAGAAGAGGTGTATTGGCATATTTTGCCACCCTTTGAGGTCTCCGTGCATAGGATTTAGATATCAGGGCCATTGCAGTGTCTTGGAATCTGTCATCAGCTGGGTAGGTTGCAGTTTGGAGAGGCAAACCTCTGGGTCAGTCACTGGGTTTTTGTTTGTTTTTTTGTTGCTTGGTTGTATCTCTGTTGGTTTCCTTGCAACTAAAATCTCTGTCCTGGGGCTTAGGAAGCAGGTGTAAAGATTTAAGGCTTACACAGACAGGGTTCAGTGGTGGTGTTTTCTTTCTCTGTGAATATCATTTAAGGCTGGGCATAAGCAAACGTAACAAGATGTCCTACCCCTCTCCTAGGATTATCATCTATCAGTTGAAACAAGGCTGTTAAAAAAATGTCAGCCCTCTCTTCCAGCTGTTTCCATCTGTGTGCTGCTGTGCTGCTGAGGTACAGCTCAGGAGATCCCAAGGAGAGGAATGTGTGTTGGAGGTCACTCGCCTTGTCCCTTTTGGATAACTTTGCTATCTTTCAGCCCAAGGCATGGCTGGTGGCTTGGCAACATGACACAGGTTGTGTTGGAACAGCCAGGTGATGCTTGAGCTCCAGCAGAGCCAGGTGGTGCCCCAAAGGGACCATCACTGCTGTTGGCACTTGAGGTGTCACCGAGCACTTCACCCCTTAGCTGAAAAACATACAAAGAGCCAACAGAGAAAAGGAAAAGCAGAGGACTAGAGTTGAAGTTTTGGCTTTTGCCCAGTCTAATGGATATCCAGCTCTGGCTCAGAGACTCTGAGATTAGCAGATATTTGTTTTCCTCGGGGATTGAGGAAATCTCCAGATTGGCTTTGACCAAGGCTGGCTTTTCCCCTGTCTTGTGACAGAGGTTCATCCTGTGGACACACGTTAACGAGCAGCGGATGATAAATTAATCTCCTCCTGAGATTCCTCTTATTATTTTTTCCCTTCACACAATGGCACCAAGGCCTTCCAAAGGGAGTTTCGAGTTGGCTGTGGGCTTCCAAACGAAACCGACTCCACAAGGCAGAGTTAATCAGAGACAGCTGTTACCCGCAGCACTGACGGCCTCACCTCTTCAGCATCAGATTAAAACCCGTTAATAACCGCCAGTGAGAGAGCGGCGCTGGGATGACTTCAGGGTGGGAGAGAGCATCTCGTGGCTTTTGGGCAAGGCAGAGCAAGGATGTGAGTGCACGGGGATGGTGTTGGCTTTGGGGGTTGTTTTCCTACTGAGCGATCTGGATTTGAACAACACAACTGGCAGGCGAGGGAGCTGCTCCCTCCGCTTCAGTTCTCCGTGCTTTTTGTATCAGTCTCCCTCAGCTGGGCTGGGCAGAACAAAAGGGGGTTTATTAATTTTTGCTTTTCCCTTCGTCAGATCTTTTCTTCTTGGTTGCAAAGTCTTGCGGGTCCTGCTGCCCTGTTCCTGCACTGGCAGCCCAGCAGTTTCTTGAGCAAGCCAAGGGGAAGCAGCAGCCCCTTCCCTGCATCCAGCTGAGGTTTCCATCTCCCTCTTTGTTGTCCTCGCAGTGGCATCGCAGTGGGGGTCAAAACTTGGGCACAGCATTGAGGGACTGCAGGTATGGAAAAATCACTGCATTTCTGCCCTGGATATCTGGAGGGGGCTTTCCATGACTCGGTGTGAGCTGGGCACAGCCTGCTGAGCAGACACCTGGGCGGTGCTGATGTACCTATGCTCAGCAAGCTTCCTCTGCCCACTGAGCATGGGTGCTCATTTATTTAGCTCCAGAGATCCAGCAGCACCCATTGTATTTCTCAAGCTCCCAAGAGGCACTGGGAGGATAGGAGACTGGAGGATCGCTTTCAGTGCCACCACTGAAAATTCTGGGCCAAAACACAACCCAGCTGCCCTGAAAATGATGTTGCCAGCAAGTCACTGCATGCTCAGCTTAGTGCAGCCCCAGGTGGCTGCAGTGAAACCAGATTACTATTCCTTTCTGTTCCTTAAGGATGGGTGAATGTGTGTCCTGGGGGGAGCAGGGCCACGAGAGCTCTTGGGCTGGAGGACTGGAGGGTGCTGATGGCAACTCCTCCATCCCCTCTTCCTCTGCTAGGTGCTGAGTTGGGTTGCAGACCTGCCAGCATCCGACCTGGCATTTGCTCCCAATGGGTTTTATTCCAGTGTTTCACCTGCTATCAAAAATGATAAAATACTCCAAAGTCATTTAATCCTAGAGACCTCAGATGTGAGGTTACACAGCCTGTAGTTGCTGTATGGGCTCTGCATCATCTCTCCTGTGCAGTCAGCCGAAGTCACTGCTGTCTTACGTGACTGCAATAAAGCACAGGGTGAGAATAGTGAGAGGAGTGTGCTGAGAAGGACAGTTCTCAGCACATAAAGGCTGTGTGCTAAGCCTGGAACTTCTCCCCTCTCTCTGCTGGGAAAACTTCATTCGCAGTGGATGAATGATTTGTTTGTAGTTGATTTCAGGACCAAACTGGTCCTTGGGCTTTGCTTGTCCATTCAGCAGAGTTTTGCTGTTGTCTGGCCAGAAAATGACTCAATCTGACCATGACCAAGGGGCATGAGCATTTCTCAAGCAAGGCAGCAAGAGGAATTAATCCTTCAGCTGATAGCTGGGAGCTGATAGTTAGAACCTTATGGTGCACAGGCAGATTTGAATGAAGAGGGACCCACAGGGTGAAAATGGTAAGGAAAGGACGGGCTGTGCTGCTACAACACTCAGGATAAGGCCTTGACTAAGCTCAGTGCTCCTTTGAGAGCTGTATCTGCTCAGGCAGATCTTCAGCTGGGAGGGAGCTGGATGGAGGAGGCAATGGGAGCAGAACGGACGCGTGGGTCACCGAGGATGTGTCTCAGTTCCAGTGATCCCATCTGAAAGCACAGCAATAGGTTTATTAATCTGTGTGTTCTAGTAAGTGAATGCACTTTTGCTGTCACACAGTCCTCACGTGAAGAGGTTTTCTGGAGGTCTGCAACATGCCAGAGGCAGTTTGGGGAGCGGCAATGGGCAAAATAGGAGTGGGAGGGCTGGTCCCCACCGACAGCCTTCTGAGCCAAAGGAGCAGGGAAACGGGGACAGCATCTGTGCTGAGCAGAGAATTCTGTGGGGCCCATTGGAGGACCCCGGTGCTGGGACTCAAAGCTTAGACTGCCTTGCAGGAAATGTGCTTTGTTCAGCTGTCTGTAGCAGCAGCTTCCAGGAACCTCCACCCTTTCTCCTTCTTGCTGTAGCTTGGGGTGCATAAAACGTTTTCTCGTTAACTATAAAACACCCAAACCTCAGCAGAATTACAACCAGATGGATAAACAAACTTTCAAACAACATGAGAAGAGCCCTTCAAAGGCAGGAGTGAGGCAGAGCCCTGCCCAGCCCTCGGAGAGTCCCTGCTTGCCGGCCCCAGCATCCTGCTCCATTCCCAGCAGTGGGATGCTTTGTGCATTACCAGAACAGACTCACATTCTGCTCACTGTGGCTCTGCAGAAGCCTTTGTAAGAAACAAGGACAGCTCTCAGGTGTTTTTTTTTTTGTGTGTGTGTGTGTTTTTATCCATTGGAAAGGTGTTGGAGAACGGTGAGTGGGGAGTGCTGCATGTCCCTACCTGCAGGGGAGCTGTATCCCTGTCCGCTTTCACTGAGCGCTATCGTGGTCCCAACCCACACCCAAAGTCTCTTTTCCAAGCCCATGATATTGTTCTTTCTCTTCTTCCCCGGCCCTTTATGTCGACAGGGCCTCTGTTCCTTAAAAGAGTGAATCATCATTTCCTGCTGCTCCGATGGATGGAGGCTTTGCCATGAGAGGATGTGGGTTTCGTTCCAATCAGCAGCGTGAATTTCTGAAAAACAGCATTAAAATGAGTGGCAGCTCCACACTGAGCACAGCAGGGCTGCTCTTCTCAGGAGCATTCAGGACATCCTGAGCCTGCATCCTGCTGGCAGGGTGTAGTCCCAGCCTTGCACTATGGGTGAACACCTGCAGGCATGAAGATGCTGGAGAGGACCGGCTCCTGCTTCCCCCCACATTCTATCAATGGGGAATAGCAGTGCCTGCCCCCCAGGGCTTTGCAGCCTCTTTGTGGGAGCGAGGGAGGGAACCACTGCTTTTCTGGTTTCTTTTTTAGTTAGGCTTGTGCAACGGTGGATGGCAGCTGCATCCTTTCATAGAGGTGTGTTTTGTGCAGCAGTTATTTCAGGGAAGCAGTGAATTCATTCCCTCTGTGCTGCTCTGCCCACAGAAGCTCCTACAGAAGCCAAGTGCTGCCCTGCTGGAAAGAATTTCCATGGCACTGAAGTCAGAAGCTGGGATGTCACTGCTGAGGTTCCCAGGAAGGGGGGGAGGGAAGGGAGCACACTGAGCATAGAGCTATAGCATCATTAAGGTTGGAAAAGACCTCTGAGGTCATCAAGTCTACCTGTGAACCATCACCCATCATTTCCCCAAAGCACATGTAAAGGATCAAACATGAAGCCAATGATGGCATCACCAGTGTGGGGGAGAATGAACCTCTATCACTGAAGAGCTCCAAGTTCTCCACAGAGATCGGGCTCTGGGCATGGGGTGTACAGAAGCCACCACCAAGGACCTGTTTTGCAGGGCTGCTCTGTGCCTCAGGGGCTGTTTGGCCATTGGATCTCAGTGCAATGGGTCACACAGTCATCAGTGGTATGTCAGCTCCAGTGAACTGTTAAGAAGGAACCAAGCAAACAGAACTTGGAAGCTTTGATAGAGGAAGGTCAGCAGAGACATCCTCTCCATGGCAGGACACTGTTTTTTGAGCCTGGGCTGCTCTGCCTGGCTGGAGGTCCCTGGCTCATTGCAGTTTGCTCTGTTGAGCTGGGTGTTGGATGTGTGAGTGCTGCAGGGAGCAGCTGAGGCTCTGGGTGAACCCAGAGGAGGTTTTTGATTCAGACACAGTTGTTCACCCACGTGCAGTGCGCAGGGAGAGCATCAGATGTCTCTTATCTTTATGGAGCAGCACCTGCTCCCTCTTTGCTCTGAATGTGCGCTGTGCAGGGCATGGGAGCACAGAGCTTTTCCTAGAGAAATGAGCCAAGTCTGCACAACCTGGAGCTGTGTTGTGGGCAGGGAATTTGCTTGGGTTCACTCTCCATTCCTGGAGCTGCTGCCACACTTCTCTAAATGGGGGCATTTCAGCTCTGGATCCTGATGCCAGGAAGACAGACATGTCTGACCTGCTGATGCTCAGGGTGGGATTTACCTGTTTCATTCATTGCTCACTTTGAGACCAATTCTGCTGGCCTGGAGGTGCAGATTCCCACTTAGAACCTTTTTGCCACTCAATGTCCAGCATCTCTGAGACTTTTAGGACCTGTTCCACCATTTCAGCATCACTTCTCCACCTCGAGCAGGACGCCACGTGGCAGAGGAACAACCCATCCTGCTTTACCAAATACTGCTTCTCTACCCATGGGGTGACACCAGTGACCTCTAATCTTCCTGAAACCCTTCTCAACCTGCCAGCACGCAACGCCACTGTGAGCAAACCCTTCTTGTTACCACTGAGCACATCCAAATATTATTTCATCCCTGTCCTGCAGCCCAGCTGGCCTGGGAGCCAGCAGCAACGTGGCTGCAGGACAGCATGGAGAGCTCAGGGGCACATGGTAGGGATGCAGTCCCCATCCCATGAGCGTCACGTATTGCAGCTCCAAGCTCTGTGCTCTGCATGGCCTGCTCAGTCTCCCCCAAGTGCTGACAAAGTGTCGAGCAGAGGGACAAACTGGAACCAAATGCTGATGGTGCAGACTTCCCCTCCAAGTTGTGCAGGCCCTCCTGGGTCTGCTGGCCTTTAATTCATCTCCTCGCCCGCGTCCCAAGTTGATTTCTGTCAGAGAAGATAAATGTTGTCTCCGGAGTTGAGATAAGAGGGATGAAATCTGTCCTTTTCCAAAGGCTTTGCAGAGGGTTTGGGGGGTGCAGATGGAGCACTGGGGTTGGCTTTGCCAAGAGCTGGGAGCTGAAGGAAATGCATGCACAGCAAAGGGAATGCATGCACAGCAAAGGGATGCTGGTGGCTGGGATAAGGGGCGTGCATCCTTTTGTTTTGGGGTCGTTTGTTTATCCTGGTTCCATTGCCATCCAGCAGTGTTCCTGTGGGACTGGATATGCCCAGGTTGTGCAGGGAGACGGGTCTTGGAAACACGAGGGTCCTGCAGAGGGCTCTTCCTTTGGGGGGAGGCTGATCCTCATCCCTGTCTGATAGAAAATCACGGCTCCTCGTTTGTCTGCTGTTTCTGGAAGATGCTGTTTGAAGTCGCTGCCCTTTTATGTGTCTTTTATGTATTATGCAGGAATTTGGCTACAGGAAGTCTTACTTCTTTTGCTCTTCTGTATCAAAATCCTTTTGCAGACCAAATAATTGCTTTTCTGCAGTGAATAGACTGTGTGACCCTGCGATCACACTGACGCCCGCACACCTCTGTGCGCTGCAAAAAGGAGGGGAAAGACAAATACTCAGATCTCAGCCATTTCTTGGGGATGGTGAGGATGTGTGGGGAGGGGACAGCTTGCAGCAGAGCCCCCTTCTTGCTGCCTGGCTTTGTCCACCCCAAAGCATCACCGAGGTGCTCGGTATCAGGGCGTTGAGGCGGTGCCTGCCATTCACAGCACTGCACTGCAGAAAACTCCCGTGGTTGCTGAGCTCTCAGCCCTCCTGGGGAGACTTCCACCTGAAGTGAAGCTGTGTGCTGAAAAGCAGAATGCACATCGGCAGCACTGCATCCACCCCCAGAGCCAACTGGGGCCCATCCTGTCTGAATCAGGTGGAGAATCGGCTCTCAGAGCGTGCTGCAGACATGGGGGCAATGGAGCATCTTGTCCCTTGCGTGGGACACGTGGGCTCGTCAGGGATGTGCCCCTGCAGACAGCTGCAGGATTCAGCCCCATCCCTCCCCGCTGTGACCCAGGTGCCAAAAGGGGTCAGGGCGGAGGAAATGAGTTGCAGAGAGCTGGGATGACAAGGGGGTGGAAGAGATCTATGCTGTTTCCAATTCAACATGCCGTGAAACGGATGGAGGAGCGTTTCCCTTCCGCCAGCAGGGCCCCAGATGTCAAATCCCAGCACAGCGCTGCCCCAAGGCACTGTGCATCCCTGTCAGCCGGCTGGAGCAGGCTGCTCACCCAAGGTAGGCTTCTTCTGCAAGTAGAAGTGGGATCTATTTTACCCCTTGCCCATTTCCACGAGGGCACCTGCCCAGTGCTGCAGTTTGGTGCTTCTCCTGCAGGAGAAAATCCCTTCGAGGACAGCCTTGGTGTGCCAGCTCGGCAGAATTAAGCACCTCTCTCTGCAAGCAGGCAGCTTGCAGCTCTGCAACTCAGAACCCCGGCTGTGTGGATTTCCAGCGTGTACCTGAGAGCTGTGCTGGGCTGTGCTCAGGCTGTCGGCGCTGCTGGGATGCTGGGGGCTCCCAGCACACTGCTGCCCTTCCATGCACCCACATGTGCACAGCAGATCCGCAGCCTCACCCGCACCGAGCGCGGCGTGACCTCAGTTAAACAAACACTTGCTCTAATCGCCTCCAGATCTGCCGCTGTCTTTGATCAGTTTAAATATTGGTTTGTCTTACGATATAAATATGTAAAACATCCATTTGTTTTCGTGCGGGATGCAAATAAATCATTGCATAAGTGTATACATGAGTTCGGCCGCGGGGGGAGCGGCAGTGGGTTCATAACTCATCAGTCTCCACCTTTCTGAAGGTCATTACTTCATTGCCGGGCTGCTTCTCTCTGCAGACAGCCCCTATTTTGCATTATTTAAATTGCTGTAGTGCCCTAGGAGTGTTCCTGCTGGTGGGGGTGCAGCACCTATGGGTGCAGTGCGAGGCTCTCTGCAGCACAGGAGCAAAAAGCTTCAGCCTGTCCTCTGCCAGGAGCAGTGAGATCAGCCTGCACCCTGGGGACTGCAAGGGATTCCTGTGATCCTTTTAATCCTAAGGTGTTTCCCATCATTTTCCTGCAGCAAACGCCCATCCTGGACCCTAATCCCAATCTCTGCTCTTGCAGTGAAGTTGCCCTCTGTCCACTCGTGGTCATTGCTGATGGGATGTGCTCCAGGACCCCAACATCCCAGTGCAGCTGCCTCTCTCCACCTGCAGCCATTCCCGTGTGCTGCAGGAGTGGCTTTCCAGCAGGGAAATGGTGAAGGGTGCTGTTAAAGGGATGGCATTACGAGGCTGAGCTGCATCCATCCATGCTGGGCTTCAGATTTCATGCTGCTATCGGGCAGATTTCTGCTGCTGGGGCAGGACCTGATCTGCCCTATTTGCTGATGGTTCGTTCTCCCAAGGGAGAACAGACCTTGAGTTCTTCTGCCTTAATTCCTGCATCGTGCCCTTGTGCTCCACCTCCCTTTCTGCCTCATGTTGTTCCTCATTGCTGCAGGGTTTTGTTTCCTATCCCCAGCTCAGTGCCACAGACAGATCCCACCCAGGAGGTGACCACCTTCTGAAGCAGTGTCAGCATCTCTATCACTATTAAACCCATTTTGGCAAGGGGAATCAATACAAAATGATGTGAATGAATGCTTTACTGCTGTCACTTCTGCTCACGGATGTCCTGTGAAAGGGAGCGTAGGGAGCAAGCTGAGATAAGGTGCAGTGCGTGGAATAGTGCAAGATGATTAATGAGCCCTTTGTCCTGGGAAGCGAGATAATGCATCTCCTGCTGCTGCCCTGTGCTAGCAGTGTTCAGATCACATTTTAAATATATATTTTTTTCTTATTTCAGAGGTATTTCACTATCTGTCTTTGTTCAAGGGCACATGAGAAGGGGATGGTGCAAACTCTGACATTTGAAATCTTCCCCGGCTTAATTTTATTCTTAGATGGCAGCTTTCTTTGCTGCTTATTTATTTGTTGCCTTTTCTCACCTTTGCTGACTCCCAAGCAGGAAGAAGCCCACACCAAGCCCAGCCTGAGCTGCAGGTGGGAGTGTGGCTCTGTGAGCTGTGATGCTGTGATGCCAAAGAGCTGAAAAGCAGAGGGGAGTGAGGCAGAGAACCTGGGGGGAGTTTTCCATAGGCTTTCCCATGGCATTGGCACTGCTGATGTGCTTGGGGCAGAGGGAAGGTGCTGTGTGGTGTGGGCTGCACCTGCTGGAAGTGCCCTGGAATGGGCTGGAAGTGGCTTTCATCCTCTTCCAGCTCAGTTTTTTCTTGTTGTCGTCTTCTCTTTCAATTTTTCTGCTGGTCATCCAAAGGAAACCCTTGCAAGGTGCTCCAGGCAGGTGCTGGGATTGCTTTTGGGACAGGAATTCCCCAGCAGAGAGGGGATTTCCCCTGCTTTCTCCCATATACAGGGCTGTGAGGCTTTGGGCACTGATGAGAAGCGATGAGTCCCAAATTGCTGACCATACAGGGAGCTGCCAGGCTGTCCCTGCATTGAGACCAGCAGGCAGCATCCTCTCAAGGGATCAGCATCTCCTGCAGCCAAAGGAAGCTGTGTGGGAGCCGCTTTCCTACCCTGATGTGCAGACACTTGGACTTGCCAGGACCTGTGGGATGCTGCCTGCAGGACGTGCCTGTGCTGCAGGAGGGGACGTGCTGTGCAGCCCCTGCACAGGGACCTCCACCAGCCCCATTCCCACTGCCAGCTGCAAAATGTACACAAAAAATCCGACGGCATCAGCACTCTGTTCCTCCCTGAAAGACTGGCTTGTGCCCTGTCCAAAACTAAATGAAAGACAGCACTGCCGTGGCACTGTTTGACCTTTCCCATTTTCTGCAGCTTGAGTTTTATTGGAATTTCAACCTTTCCCCCCCCCCTGGTTCTTGGCTCTGGGCAGCCATCCATCTCACGTCGGGGTGGCTGTCCATCCTGAGCCTGGCAATGCCTTGTCTGCCAACCAGTGCTGCTCACATGCACACATGGGGCAGAGGAAATGCTCTCAGCCAATGCTTGCCAGGGCCTCACATTTGTGGCTGGAAATCCTCTCCAGTCGTTAAATATTGGCTGAGTTCTGGTTTATCTTCATAAAAAGGGGAATCTGCTCCATGGCACGGGATGGTTGGGAAATGCAATTGCTGCTTGCACACACAGCACCTCTGTCAGCAGTGTGCACACATCCCACAGGGCCCAGGGGCAGACATTGCCTCTATATGCAGTTTGTCACATCCAGGCTGTTGGGTCTGAGCCCATTTTCTGCAAGATCTCAGGACTGCACAGGTGGGAAAAGAAACATTCAGGAGCAGAACCCAAAATGGAAATGTGACCAAAAGTTATATTTAAAAAAAAAAAAAAAAAAAAAATCTGTTAAAAAATAATAATTTCTTTGGGGCAGTGTTTTGTGCTGAGAATTAATTTTTATTATGGCTGATTTATAACCCCACAGAAACGGGCCTCGGTCTCGGAAAAAAAATGCATACATTGCAAATACCAGAGGTGTGCTCTCCAGTTTCCATCGAGCCCTCCAGCATTCATATAGAGCATATTTGTAGGGGTGTCACAGCTGGCTTTCTCCTGGCCGCCTTCTGCTGGGGAATCTTGGCACTTCCCAGCCTCGCCGCTCTTCCAAAAGCAGAATTGACACCATTACTGCGTGGTTAAAGGTCACAACACAGGAACTGCATCCCATAAGTCAGTCTGCAAAAGCAAGGCTGGCGTGGAGCTGTCATTGCTGCCATCCAGAAATAGCATTTTATTGTGTGATCTCTCGGGGTCATTCTGCATTTTCTGTGCATCCACGAATGCACTGCAGTCAGCAAAAAGGCTCAGGAGGAGTGAGGAGGTGGTTGGGATTCAGCCTCAGGGCTGTGGTGCCCATAGCGGTACGATGCCATCCAGCAGCTTTGGGAGAGCACCTCCCATGCTTCAGTTGGCTGGAACTGGGAAGGAAACACAAGGCTGCTTTTGGAGCAGGGTTAAGGCAGCTGTGGTTGATAGCTGCCATCCTTGCTTTTGCACAGGAACCCATCTGTGGGCAGCAAGAGGGTGGCTGCGTTTGCGCAGATCTTGAGCAAAGGTGGAGC